TGAGAATTTATAGAATTAGAGGCCATTTTTGATAAATTTCTTCTACTTGTAACAGTATTGTATTTTGATAAGATAGATATCTTTTTGTAACTACCTAAGTGATTTACCACCCGATCTAATCTAATTTATCCCCATATTTGAAGTGTCATGTCCAATAATTTGTCACATGCTTGCACAAGGTTATTAAACATTTTAAGAAGTTATGAAATAATAAAATTCTGTAAGTTACACAAGTGGCTTCTTCATCGACAATCATTGAACAAACATTGTTGCTGATTACTATCGACATCACTGACAATAGTTGTTGAACGTGTTGGTGCTATTGGTAGCTTCATTTGAATTACCGACATTCATTGATCTTTATCGGAATCATTGAGAGAGTCATTTCATTTACTTTTTTTTTTTCAATTAATTATTAAGAAAATGTCCTGCAAAGATTTTGTCAAAAGGTTAAAACTCGGAAACAAATTTACATTTATAGTGTGCTTATGTTGCGTTCATATTATAAAAACATTAAACTAATCAATTTTGTTGGCTGAAGGCATGTATGTATAATGTATTGCTTAAGTATTTTCAATATTTAAATTAAAATGTAAATTTTTTAATTATCTTGTTATGTCTAATGTACCAAACATGCTATTAACTATTTCATTTTGCATTCATTACTCAATGTACTTCCACGAAAAAAAGAAAAATAAAAAAACTCGAGTCAAGTATCTCAATCTAGTTGGTGACAAATTAATGCTCCAAACATTTTTCATCAATTTTTTTTTTTTTTTTGCGTTCGGTCGTTCGTATCTTCACACAATTTAACTAAGTGCTATTGCTATTAGTTTACCGACTCGAAGAAAAGGATTTCTTCTAGGATTTAATATGTGAAGCTACTAGAGAACATTACTCTTTCTTCTACAAATGGAGTCATATTGCTTATTTTTTTTATCTACAAACTACCCTTGTTGAAACATAAAATTGGCACCAACTCATTACAAGATTCTGATTTTCCTAAGTCAAATCCTTCGTCTTCTATCTTTACAATAGTCTTCATACTATGCTCAATCATCTCTAAAATCTCAGCCGTTGAATATCCAATCAATGTCTGGCCCAAGCCCACAATTTTCTTGTGGCCAAATCCACAAGCAATCTTACTCGCAGGAAACTTCACAATCTCTGCTCCCAACCACCGTTACCTAAGTCCCGGCCCCCAGGGGCGGACGCAGACAATTAAAGTTGGAGGCACAATCGAACTTGCAAAAAAGTTTGGAGAAATTTTACAATCGAAAATTTACATCTACAAAAATCATACCCCTTGTAATTTTGTATCCGAAAATTTACATGGAATATGACTTTTTCGGATGTAAAATTTCGAAAATTTTTGATGTCATATCCTATATAAATGTCCTAATAAAATAATGCAAATTACATTGAAAAATTTATATCACAAAAATAATAAATATTAATGAAATAATCAAATTTTATTAAAAAANTCATATCCTATATAAATTTTCTAATAAAGTAATGCAAATTATATTGAGAAATTTGTATCACAAAAATAATAAAATGTTCATGAAATAATTAAAATTTTAAAAAAAATGCGAGTTAGACGCATCTTTTTAAGACGTATGTTTGACGCATCTTTAACTATTTTCGATATCTGTTTGAACTATTCAATATGCCTATAATGTAGTTCTCGAAACGAGATTTGAGATGATATAAGAGATTCGTAGATTCGACTACTGTACG